GGGCGCCGCGACTCCAAGCCAGACCGGACAGCGGGCTTTCCCGAACCCCGCCTCACTTGCCAAGGAGGCGGAAACCGGGGGGAGGGGGGAGGACGGCCTGGGGGAGTGGCATCGCCGCTCCGTACGGCCCCTCCGGCCAACCGGATCCCGAGAAGGCGGAGGAAAGCAGACTTCACGCCCCCTCCCTGCCGCGCCCCGAAACCACACGCGGGAGACCCCTTGCCCGTCCCCCAACCCCAGCATGCCAGTGCGCGGCTGCCCAGCTGAGGCCCCGCCCACCTCGGGAAGATAGGAGGGGTGGTCGACCGCAAACAGCACTTAGCCAGGGCCGGCCCCGCCCCTTTCTCCACAATCGCACGCGCGCGCCGGCCCCGCCCCTGAGCGGCGGCGCGAGAGCCCGCCCCCTCCGCGCGCACCGGGACTACGCTCTCCTCCCCCTCCCGCACGAAGAGCTACCCCGCTCCGCCCCCCACCCCCCTCACACATCCACACACCTCCCGCCCGCCTGCTCTACGGGAAGCCGAGGAGGTCAGCCCCCCTAAAAATACACACCCTCGAGTCCAGCGTTACCCGCCACCAGGCTCCCCGCCCCGACCCTGGCCCGGCGTGCTCTCACCGCAAAGCTGCTTCGGCCGCTCCTCACTGCGTGTCCCTCTCGGCGTGAGCCTCGGGCTCAGCAGGGAGGCCCCGAGAACGGCGAAGGCACAGGCCCGCCGAAGCGGACTGGCAGCCTCCTCTCCGCTAACGAAACGGTCACAGGCCCCGGTGCCCAGACTGGGAAGGAGGGAGGGAGGGAGGGAGGGAAACTCCGAGGGGGGAAGGGGAGGGGGGGAAAGATGGAGAAACCGTCTCCGCCGCCTCTACCGCCGCGGCCGCTTCTCTGTTACCCGGGAAATCCCGCCCACTCCCCCGGCCCGCCCCGCAGAGGGAAGACTCAACTTCGCTCCACCACAGGCCGCATTATCCGCCCGTCAGAGGTTTAACCAATCGCTGTGCCCTGCCTGCCGGCTGCCCGCCCCTTCCCCCTCGGCTGGGAGGGGAGGGGGAGCCGCTCACCTTCTCCACGCCCCTATTGGCGGGGAGCTTCCCTAACTCAACCCCGCCTATTGGAGGCGAATTGCTGAATCCCACCCCCACGCCTCAACACTATTGGAGGAAGCAGGGGAGCTCTTCACGTCTCATTGGAGGACTCCACATATCCCGCCCCGTGCGGTCTCAGCCACAGGCCCAACAAGTCGGCTCCCGCCCTCGCCGGTCATCGCATTGGAAGGCTACCCCTGGCTCTCTTGCTGCCCCAGGAAGGTAAGTAACCGATGTGGGGTAAAATGTCCGTAAGTGAGGCAGGCCCCGCCCCCAACCACCCGATTGGATATCTCAGCGCCGGTAGCAGCCTCCATTGGCCAGGACGCCCGTCTAGAAAGGAGCTGACTCCGCCCCGCGCGAGGAGGCTGAACCTTAGCAGTCCTTTTGTGGAATGTTTACACTAGAGACTGAAGTGCAGAGAGTTCCAGGGCCCGAAACAGGAGGGGGCGCGGAGCTCAGCAGCTGAGATCCGAAGCCTTGGGATTTGAAAGGGAGAGGCAGCAACACACCACCGTGGAGGGCCCCTTACAAGAAAAAATAAAAGAAAGAAAGAAAAAGAACCTCATCCTATCCAATTCTCTTTACAATTTACATTTCCGCACGCTGCCTCCTTGTAAACACAAATATCCGGAGCAACCGGATCCGTACAGCTCCTTTCAGTACGTACAGAATTAAGAGCTGGAGACCCAAGCCGAAAAATAGTCCCAGTGGTTGCCAGCCCGCAGCTAGGTTTGGCTGCACACTTCTAACACCGACAATCCCTAAACTTGAGTATGCAGTCCTAAGAGGGCGGAGATAACCAAAATGAAGGCAGGGCCCTAACAGCCACCGCCCTGGCAAGCCTCCGGAAGGCGGAGCGTGAGGTGTAAAGCGTTTGCGATCTCCAGGGTATATCTGGAGGCATACTCGGACTCGAACTGAATAAGGAGACCAAAAAGGCCACAGCATAAATGAACCTTCACCCCACACTTCATACAAAGAATAAAAATTCCACAGTTGGTGACAAAAGATAAGAATGGCTGTTCACCTACTCCTTTGGCCAACAAGTGTTAATGTCAGTCCCTAGGCCTTCTCTGTGTAGGTTATAGTGCTTCAAACACACAGAGACAAAGTGCTTGCAATGCCTAGGTTGCTTTTATTTATTCACCAAATGGGGCGGAGAACGGACGCTGGCCCTGCTTTGGGGGGCGCTCAAGGAGCGCCAGGAAAGGAGGGGGCGGGACTAGAGTTTTCCCGCTCTCCAGCAAAAGCCTACTCCCCCGAGAGCCGTGTCAGTCCCCAAGTGGCAGGCCCCAGGGAACCCGCTCCCAGGTCCTATCTTGTCCTCCCTCTGCAATCCAGGGGAGACGGCAAGAAAACCAGCGCTGGCAACAGGTGGGCCTGACTCCAAGGATGGCTTCGAGCCGTAAGGACAAGGCAGTGAACTGTGAACTCCATGAGTAGCTTAAGATGAGAGCCAAGCCCTGCCCAAAGACGGAGCTCTAAAAAAAAGGTCACACCAACGAAAGCGACGCTCGAGTCAAATCTCTTCGAGGTTAGGAAGAAGCGGCACTTTTGCAGAACTTATCGACGGTACCTTTCACTCTGGGCCGTCCCCGTCTCCCTGGACTGGGTGCCACACGACGCTCCACCTGGACCTCAAGAACCACTTCGAATCCAAGCAGGGTTGGGCCGACCCCGACTTCTCTGTCAATAGGGGATGAACCACCCTGTACCTTGCCTAAGGCACCCAGCCCAATCTTAGGTTGCTCAGAGTTTTAGTTAAAGCCACCTAAGGCCAAGCTGCCGGCGTCCGCGGCGTTCTCAAGCTTAAATTCAGGGTGATCTCCGGGAAGTGAAGAGGCGCGAGAATAGCCAGGCCGCAGGGTCAGAACTTTAGTAGTTGGCCCGGAAGGCCAGATCCCACCCCTCCTCCCCACCCCTGCAGAACCCCTGGAGCCGAGGGCCCCGAAATCCACTCATGCCGTTAACCCCTAACTTCATCGCAAAGCTACCAGAATCTCCAGCCTTAGAGGAATCATTGTGTGCCTTCTCCGCTCTCTTCGCCCCCTCCCCCCCCACTCCCCGCGCCAAGGACTCCAAACCCGGGACTTCCGGGCGGGAGGACAGTTCGAAGGAGCAAGGCGGGACTCACACATGTGCCGAGCGCGCACACAGGCTAGGGGAAGGGGCGGAGAACAGGGGGTGAACTTCCCCCCCATCCTAGCTCGCTCCGGCGGAGGGGGCGGAGACTACAATCTCACCAATCAGGAGTGGGGGCGGGACCTTGCGCCACACGTAAGTCGTAGGAATCCTCCCTCCGCCCTTCACGGAAAAAAATCCTAGCAACTTAAACTCCAGCCCGGCCTCCGATAGGCGGAGCTCGAGATAATGTCATCCAGTCGAGAACCGAGAAGGAAAAAAGGGAGTCTCGCCCAGCCAGTGGAAGACAAGAGAAGGCGGGCCCTGTGGAGGAGCCCGAGGTGGGTGGAAGAGAGAGGGAAAGGCCCCGCCCCTCAGCTCCCCTCCCGGCGGGTTGCACAAGCGGCGGCTGCTGGAGTAGATAGTAAACAGGCTAGGCCAAGGAGTGGAGGCAGGGGCAACTCGGCGCTCCGTGGGCCGGGGCCCCGGCGCCTCCTCTCCCGGCATCGCCCCACCCGACCCCGGCGGTTAGCGCCGGCGCCCCGCCTTCCAGCCCGCGGCCGCCATCCCGGCTGACAGGCGCGCCCCCCGCGCCCCTCCCCGCCCGCTGATGCATTTCCTTTTCCCGATTCCTAGCGTGGAGACTGTTTTCCCAGTTTCCGACCTTCACTGCCCCTTTCAGGCCACCCCCTCGTGGGCGCGCTCACACGCCCGCGCCCCCGCCCCATCAGCGGGCGAGCCGCACGGCCGGGGGAGGAGAAGGGAGCCGCCACCGCCGCTGCGGCCGGCTTGGGGTGGGCGGGGAAGGAGGCAGCTCCATGTTTGCAAGGGGATCAGCTGGGGCCGCGCGGGTCGAAGCCGCCACCGAGTTCCTGGAGGTTTTCCACACCCCCGGGCCGAGTTCCGCGCGGGCTCGCGGCCTGGCGGGTTCCGACGCCGAATGCTGGCTCTACTGCCACGGCCCGGGAGTTCGGAGAACACAGACCGGCGCGCGGAGCTAGTGGCCAGGCGCTGGGGGCTCTTTCCGGTGGCCTCCCCCGCCCCCGGCCGCCCCTCCCGCAAGTCCGGCGTTGCCCCCGCCCCCAGAGTCCGTAACAACCGCGGCCCACGGCGCCCGCGCCTCACCGGATCGCGCCCACCGCCCCCTCCGTCAAGTTTGCGGGCCGAAACAAAACCCTCCGGGTGGCTGCCGCCCTCGCACAGCATGGTTAGCGGGGAAAGCCGCCGGCTCCGGGTCGCTAGCTAACTCCAGCTCTCAACCAACTCCGGGAGCCGCGGGCTCAGTGGGCCTGGCCTGCCGGGCTCAGGCCGCCGCCCCCTGCCGAGCCCGCGCGCCGCAGCCCAGGCTCGGTTCCAGTCGGCGTACGGAATATCCCCTATTTTCTTCTTTACAATAATTTTTTAAAAGGCATTCCAGGAGCGAGGGGGGAGGGAATCTCCCCCTGCCCGCCCCTTACCCAGTCCGCCGCCGAAACCTACCGAAACCGATTGCTCGGTGAAATAAACTAGGCAGCACGGCCGGCGCACTGACGACCCCGGGCCGGGCCGACCCCCTCCCCACGAATCCGGCCCGGCTTGGAAAACACACACACTGGCGAGCGGGCGGCGCCAAGAGCTCTCCTTCCTGGCCTGCCCCGTGCCTCCCTCGGCCGCCGGACTCCGAGACTCCCCTAGCTCCGTCCCGGGGCCCGCGGCGCCCGCACCGTGGCGGACCGGCCTGAGCCACTGGCCAGCGAGCTAGCCCCCCAAACGCCCGAGATTGGGGAGACCAAATTAAAAGCAGCTGTTTAACATACCTTCCGAGCCAGGCGAGGAGTCCTGAATGGGGAGGAACGCCCCCCACCGGCCATTGGCTCCCCGGCGCTAGCGTCAGTCAGCCTGGGCCCGCCTCCTTCCCTCGCTCCACCTCTTCCCCTTCATTGAATGCTCCCTCCCTCCAAAAAAACATTAAATAAATAAATTAAACTAGCCGCGAGTGGGAAGCGCATCCGTGGTAAAGGCCCCTATCTCTCCGGTACCGCCCCTTCGAGTTTCTTGAGACCCTTGGACTGGAAGGACACCTGAGACTCAGAGATCCGCAGGGTGGACTCGGAGGAGGAGCCAGCGGGGCTACCCGGCCCCACTTCCTTCGCACTCACACCCCATTTGGAGCTGGGTAGCGGAGGCTGGTAGGGACATCCTAACGACTGGCTGGAATGGCCCAATTCCCCAGGCTGTGTAACCTAACCGTGTCCAGCCCATTCTGTTAGGTGGCTACCTAAACATGAGTGGTGTAAGCGGCGAGTCCTGTGTTCAGGCAACAGGCGCTTATCTAAGCACCTACCGTGGGTGAGGCAGACACATTCATCCTGCACCTGCTTCTGAGTGCGATTACAGAGGCTGGATGAGATGCTCTCTCTATACCCTTCAAGGGCTCCAGACCTACCCGAGTTGATGCTACAGCAAGAGCTAAGTAAGGCAAGGCAGAAATGTGTATATAAATAGACCTAGGAGCTCAGAGCAGGGAGATTCTTCCTAGCTGAGGAAAACTGGGAAAGTCTTCATGGAGGAGATGGCTGGCACTCAAGTAGGGTCTTAATGCTTTCATCAGGCAGAAATGAAGGGGGCAAGTCATTTTTAACAAAGGGCACAAAGGGGTAAATGGAAAACATTGTTAAGGACCTTCTAGTGTGGCTATAGTAATGAAAATCAGGGTTGGAAAGATGGAACCAAATAGCAGAAGACTTTGATACCTGGTTAAAATTCTTAGACTCACACAACATAATGTGCTAGCAGCATAGTCACAGGCTACAGGCTCAGAACTATGGTTTAAGATGCTCAATATCCCAGTAGCTGGGTTGGTTCTGAGAGTGGTTAAGTGAGGGGTGCCTATAGGCAGCAAGGTGAGGCACAAAGGCTATTGTAATACTGGGTTTGGAGACAACAGAGATACATCTTCTGGTGGGAGGGGTACATGGTGGAGCCAAGGGAAATTTTATTTTCTCTCTCCCAGCCACCCAATCCAGAAAGTCTTCAGTAGCCCTCAAGTCAAAAACTCTGACTCAGATCCTTCCCTGAATCATTTGCTGTTTGTCCTAACTTTCAACCAGAAGTTGAAAGAGGCTACCCTACCTCTCTGTGTTCAACAGAACTGAGCCTAGGGCCAGAACACACGGAGTGAGCAAGAAAGACCTGTTGATTGAGGCATCCAGGAAAGGAAGTTTAGGTGGCGGATGTGGGGTGTGCAGAATGTGAAGAGTCCTGTGGGCAGAGTGGGGCCTGATGCTAGTTAGGCTGTCCCAACAATTCAGGTGAGATGTAATGAGGACTTGACCAGAGCAATGGCAATGGGAAACAAAAAGAACTAAAAAGGAGAGGGGCGCCTGGGTGGCTCAGATGGTTAAGCGTCTGCCTTTGGCTCAGGTGATGATCCCAGGATCCTGGGATCAAGCCCCGCAACGGGCTCCCTGCTTGGTGGTGAGCCTGCTTCTCCCTCTCCCTCTACTGTTCCCCCTGCTTGTGCTCTCTCGCTCTGTCAAATAAATAAAATCTTAAAAAAAAAAAAAATTAAAAAGGAGAGATGTGTTTGAGAAAGACTCAAGGGGCCTGGGTGATTAATTCAGTTTGGGTGATGGAGGGAAAGAAGTCTGTGGCCTGGTATATGAAGAGGTAGTGGAGTTTGAGGCTAAAGGCTGGGTAATCTGGGTTCTAGACTTAACCTGGCCAGTGACTGGTGATATATTTTTAGGCAAGTACTTCTTCCCCTGGGCCTGTTTCCCTCCTGTGAAACAGGGGTGGAAATTGGAATAGAAAGACAGGCTCTAAGGACCCTTCCCTCACTCAGGATCCATAGGAAAGGAGGTTTTCTAATGGGGAGGGAAGCTTGCCATTAAGGAGAGAGGACAGGTGGGAAGAAATACTTATTTGGGAAGGGCAGTGGGTCATCCCATGTGAAGTGGGGACTAGAATTTGGGAGGTAGCTTGGTTGATGGAATCATTGAAGGAGAGGGTGTGGAGTGGGAAAGGCCAGGAGGTGGGGACTGTGTATTCAGTGGGAGGCCCACCACCTAGCAGGGCCATGGAGGTTGAGGTTCATTCTCAGACTGGGGGGTCCCTAGGGTGAGAACCGAGTTTTTCTAATTCAGAACAGAGATCCTCTGATGTCTGGAGCCCCATCTCAGATTTCTACTCTATTTCCAAGAGGTTCTGCCCTAGATGAAGGCATAAGATACTGTGTGAGTATGAGATGAGGCATAGTAGTAGACCAGAAAACATTAGTCTGGAAGTTGAATCCTATGTTCTCACTTAGTCTCTTCTTATTGTCTATGGATCAGCATCCTGTCCTATACAAGAGTGTAACAGCAATCCTTGCCCTGTTTTGAAGATCAAATGTGATGATTAAATGTACTTTAATATACCTAGTAAAGTTCTGAGCTTCTGTGGAGGCCAAAGGCCCAAGCATTTGACTGTCCTAAACAGCAAGTGGTATACTGTGGATGAAGTTATGGAACATTTGCAACCAGAGTAGTTACTCCCATTCAGAGAACCAGATTTTGCTGACACTCCTTGAGGATAGCCACTCTAATTCACTCTGAGCACCCAGTGCCCATAGCAATCAGGCATGGGAGCCCCTTGGAAGGGGTCCAGGGATTATTGTTTCTGACTCAGTACATTGATGCCTACATAGGAGAACCAGTCCCGGACTCTTTGGGAAAGTGAGTATTTGTTTTGGTGACACTGACCCTCCAGCTGTATGGGTAACATCCACCCTACCCCTCCCCTACTCTATCAGGACAAAACAGTGAATGGATACTGATGAGGGCCTTCCTTTGAGAAGTCACAATGGGAAGCCAGGTTCTGATTCCCAGGAGGCCTCTTCTGTATGAGTTAGGGATTATTATCCTAATTATAGTTGAGTAACCTGAGCAGTAGAATGACTTGCCCAAGTCAAGTCTGTCTGGACCCAAAGCCTGAGCTTTGTCCACTCCCCCCTGTGCTGTCTCTATACACACTAGGGCCCATGATCCTGTTGGGACTTGTGGAGAAAAACGGCCTCCCTCCTGCCCCATCCCCCTTACCTCCCTAATTCCAAGAGCAGTTTGTCCCCAGATAGTTCTAAATGGTTTCTGGCCCTTTCCAAAAAAATTATCTTCAAAGAAGCAAGATATTTCTCCCAACCACATACATACATACATCCTTACCTCACAACACCACTCAAAACTGTCACACCCACTGACACCCTGTCTCACAAGCATCATGCATGTGCATGCATGCACACACCGTCATTCACAAAAAGGACTCATTTAGTTCTTTAGGGTGTGTATGGTAGGTGGTGACTGAGACATTTAGGGCCTACACTTTAGTGACTCTGCCAAAAAGGTATCAGTGCCAGTACCCTGCTGACAGAACCTCTGCCAGCTATAGAAGACCATTGCCAGTTTAGGAATATGCAGGTGAGGGGCATCTGAGGCTTGTTCACTCCCAATCCAAACCGCCCTATAGGTTCAGGGGGGCAAAGCTCAAACTATTGGTCAGAATCCCAATTTAGTCACCTCCTAGCTGGAGGTCTTCTGCAAGTTATTTATCTTCTCAATTTATCTATAAACTAAGAATAAGAATACCCACTTCAGAGGCACCTAGGTGGCTCAGTCGTTAAGGGTCTGCCTTTGGCTCAGGTCATGATCCCAGGGTCCTGGGATCGAGACCCGCATCGGGCTCCCTGCTCGGCGGGAAGCCTGCTTCTCCCTCTCCCACTCTCCCTGCTTGTGTTCCCTCTCTAGCTGTCTCTCTCTCTCTGTCAAATAAATAAATAAAAAAATAAAAAAAAAAAAAAAAAAAGATGGGCGCCTGGGTGGCTCAGTTGGTTAAGCAACTGCCTTCAGCTCAGGTCATGATCCTGGAGTCCCGGGATCGAGTTCCACATCGGGCTCCCTGCTGAGCAGGGAGTCTGCTTCTCCCTCTGACCCTCTTCCCTCTCGTGCTCTCTATCTCTCATTCTCTCTCTAATAAATAAATAAAATTAAAAAAAGAAAAAAGAAAAAAAGAATACCCACTTCAGTGGGCTGTTGTGAAATTAAAAATAAAGTATGCCTGGGGCGCTCAGTCTGTGGAGCATATGACTCTTGATCTTGGGGTTGTGAGATCGAGCCCTACACTGGGCATAGAGATTACTTAAAAAAAAAAAAAAGTATGCCTAGCATTTATTCAGGGCTTCACAGACTTTTTTCTCCCTTAACTCCTCACCATTCCCTCTCTGCCTGGCCTTTCACATGCAAAGTCCCTGGTGTTGCAGTCTGAGAGAAGAGCCCAGGACTGGCCTAAAAGACCCAACAATCCCACTATATGAAGAAACCATTTCTCTGGCAACCAACTGGCTTAGGTTGTACATATTCCATATTCCTAATTTCTGGGTAGTTTGGAGGCTTGGAATTTTTTAGTGGGTTTTAAGATTGCTACTCACTGCCATGAAATGTCTTCCCTTCACTGAGCATTAATAAAAAATAAGTATAATAATATGTTCCCCAGTTTACCTGGCTTTACATTTTCAAAATGTTTTCTTCTGTATGTCAGTTATTTGGTGACTTTTTTTTTCAAAGCAGCAGGTTATTTTGTCCTATTGCAATCTTACTCAGAGCCCTAATGTGGAAGAGATAAATGTGGGCCTTGCTGTGCTTGGAGACAGCCCAAGCACTGCAGTGTCTACTTTCACCTGCCATTCACACCACCTCCCTGTCAGCCCCTGCCCTGAGACCACCAGTGAACCTACATTTCCGAATCCTGTTCATTCATCCTAACTGCTCCCTTCCACTGACCAGGCTGGGAGAATACACCCTGGCCACGT